CCCCGGGACTGTCCCCAGGCTCAGCATCGGGGACCCCCGGCCCCCCGTGACTGTCCCCAGGGCCGTTTCCCCCGGTACGTGTGGGGGTCTCACAGCATCCCCCCCCCCAGACCCTTCACCCCAGCGCCCCGCGGGCACACCCGGGGCTGCCGGGGACCGGCCACCCCCCCGTGTCACCCCCCTGGCCCCCCGTGTCTCCTCACACCCCCCGCGTCGGTTCCCTGCAGCCATCCTGGAGTCCGGGAGCAGCGAGGAGGAGGAGGAGGAGGAGGAAGAAGAGGAGGATGCAGAGACAGCTACGGGACAGGTATCGCTTCCAGAATCGCTTTCCATCGGATTTCCCCCTCCCGCCCCCGGAACTCGGGGAGGGTGAAGGGCGGGTGCCCCCCGTGTCCCCCCCCCATCCCGGCTGGGTGTCTCGGCTCCGGGGGCTGAGGCTGGGGGTGGCACAGGCACAGCATCCCCAGCGCTGGCAGCGTCTCACCGGGACCTGGCAGTGCCCCGTGGCAATGGAATGCCAATGGAATGCCAATGGAACGCCAATGGAATGCCGTGCCAGTGGAACGTCTCACCAACTCCGTTCCCTGCTCTGCCAATGCAATGCCCCGCCAGCGGAATGCTGTGCCAACACGAGGCCATGCAAATGGAATGCTGTGCCAGTGGAATGCTGGTGCCAACACGAGGCCATGCAAATGGAATGCCGTGCCAGTGGAATGCTGTGCCAATGCCGTGCCACACCAAAGCAGGGCCATGCTGATGCCATGCCAATGGAATGCTGTGCCAATGCCATGCCAAAACAGTGCCCTGCCAATCCGTGCTGTGCCAACGGAATTCCACCCCGGTGCCACGCCATGCCATGTCCTTTCCGTGCCATGCCAAAGCTGTGCTGTGCCAATGCAATACCCTGCCAGCACCAAGCTAAGCCAATGGAATGCTGTGCCAGTGGAATGCTGTGTCAACCTGGCTCCTCATGCCCGTTTCTCCCCCAGCTGCACCCACTCCTCGGCCCGGAGCTGGGCGATGCCGAGGGGCGGCTGGCACAGCTCGAGGAAGGTGAGCCCTGTCCCACCCCCGTGTCCCCCCCCCCCGTCCCCCCCCCCCGTCCCCCCCCCCCCTCCCCCCCCCGCTCCCCCCCCGGCACATCCCTGTAGGGGTCTCGGGGCAGCTGCAGCCCCTCACAGGCCCTGTCAGTGACGATGCCAGCGGGAAAATCCCTGCCCTGGCACAGAGCCGGGTGCCAGCCCTGCTCCTGGGTGACCCGGCTGGGCTCTGCTGGCCACTGGGCGTGGGTGGCCATGGGCAGGACCCGCACTGGGGGCCTGGCAGGCACCTGAACCCCCGTGTGCCCCCGGCAGCATCGCAGGCACTGCTGGCAGAGCTGGAGGCGCTGGAGGCGGAGGTGGAGCTGGAGCGGCTGTGCCGGCAGCGAGTCCAGGCCTTCGCGGCACAGGTAAGGGGGGGCAGCCACCCCACCACCCTCCCCTGGCAGGGACAGGGGTGCCAGAGCATCCCCCCGGCGCGGCCGGCTCGGGGGGTGCGGTGGGAACCCCGACCCTCTGATGGGGGATCTCTCTCCCCCCTCAGGGGCAGCAGGAGAAGGCGCGGCCGGGGTGGCTCAGCCCTGTCCGGACACCCGAGGGGAGGACACCCGAGGGGGTGACCGCGGAGGAGGACCCCGACCCTGCCCCGCGCTCTGGGCAGCAGCTCCCAGGTGAGCCGGGGGGGTCCCAGCCCAGCCCATCCCATCTCATCCCATCCCATTCCATCCCATCCCGTCCCCAGGGGTCCCCTAAGCCCGGCTCGGCCCGGCGCCGCCGTTCGGGCTGTGCCTGAGCCCCGTCCGGGGTTAAACCCGGCGAAGGCGACACCGAAACGAGCCGCGAACGGCGAAGGGAAAGCGCAGCTCCTCCCGCTTCCCCTTTCCCATCCCGTTTTCCCGCGTCAGCGATTCCGGCTGTTCGCAGCCTGCGGGAGCCGGGGGGGGGCTGGGGGAGCACCCCTCGAGGGGCTGCACCCCTGGGAGAGGTGCCCTTCTGCGGGGAGGGAGCCCCGGGGTCACCCCGTTCCCTCCAAACCCTCCGTGTGCGGGAGATCCTCGGACTCCACCCCTGGGCTCACCTTTGGGGTCACACTTGGGGTCACCCTTGGGGTCACCCTTGGGGTGTTCGGGGTGCTGAGCACGACCCCGGGGGTCCCGAGGGTCTCACCCCCGTTGCCAAATGCCCTTCCCTCCGGGTCACCTCCCAGATCCAGCTTCCAGCAGGGCCCCTGGTGACACGGCAGGGACAGGGGTGACCTGGGGACTGAGTCCACCCCTCGCTCCCCCCTTTCCCATCCCTCGCGCCCCCCTTTGCTCCCAGACCCGCAGGAGCGGCTCTCCCGGCTCCTGGAGCAGCAGGAGGAGCTCACGGGGCAGGTCCGGGAGCTGCAGAGGCAGAACCAGCACCTGCAGGCCCAGGTACCCCCCGGGACCCCCGGCCGGGCAGGACCCCCCTCCTCCTCCTCCTTCCCTGTCCCCTCCTCATCCCCGGGGCTCCTCGCTGAGCTCAGGGCAGGGGTTTGGGAGGGAAGACCCCCCCTCTACAGCCCCTGATGTCCCGGGGGGGTGGGCTGGGCACGGTGGGACCCCCCAGTGAACCCGGGGCTGAGGGGGGGGGCTTGTCCCGGCACAGCTGGAGCTGGAGCAGGAGGAGCGGCAGCGCCTGCGGGCGGCCCTGGGCACCAGCCAGCGGGCACTGAGGTCCTTCAAGAGAGGTGAGCGGGGTCCCCACGGCCTCTGCCCAGCCCCCGGCAGCTCCCAGTGCCGCCAGTGCCACTCTGTCTGGCAAACTGGTGCAGCCAAAGGCCGGGAGCTGCGGGGGTATGGCCGGGGAGGGGGTGTCCCACCCGCGGGGGGGGGGGCGGCGTGAGGTTTTCATGGGGGTCCCGGCCCCCCCCCGACCCCCGCTGTCGCCGGCAGTGTCCCAGATCGTCACCCAGGATTACTGGGAGGCGCTGGAGCAGCTGGAGCTGGAGCAGGACCTGCGGCTCCACGCCGAAGCCTTCGCCCACGAGGTGCCCGCAGAGCCCGGGCGGTGCTGGGGGCGGGGGGCACCCCTGGGGGGGTGGGAGAGCGGGGGGGGTGCTTGTCTCAGCATCCCTTGGCACCCCGGTGCTCGTCCCACCCCGCTGGATCCCGGGTTGGGTGGGATTCTCCCGGGCACCCACCCTGGCACGGGGCCGGGTGGGGTTTGTCCCCAGCGCCCCCAAAGCGCATTTCGGTGGCCCCGGGGGGGTCGGTCCCTCGCTGAACCGGCCCCGCGGGCAGATGCTGGTGCAGCAGAAGGAGGCGAACAGGCAGAGCTCGATCCTGCTGCGGGACGGGCCCGATGCCCGGGTGGTGGCCGCGCTGCAGGAGCTGGGACGGCTCAGCCGGGAGCTGGAGGAGACCAGGCAGGAGCAGCGGCAGCGGGTGAGGGGCTGTCCCCGGGGGTGGGGGGCTGTTCCTGGGGGTGGGAGCCTGTCCCCGTGGGTGAGGGGCTGTCCCCGGCGGTGGGAGCACATGGTGTGAGGAGCAGGGCCGGGTCCCGGCTCGGCCCTGGGGCCGGGGGTGGGTCCGCTGGGTGCGGGAACCGGCTGGGACTGGGATCAGACCCCTCCATCCCCGCTCCCTGTGCCCACCCTGGAGAGGTTCTTCCATGGATTTCCACCAGTGCATTTCAGGTCCCACAATGGGGCTGCCCCACACACTGGGAGTGCTCCATCACCCAGCAGGATTTCTCCTAAAAGCCGCCTAAAGTTCCTGCCAAGGGGCCGATCTGTGGGGCTGTGGCACATCCCCGCCCCGGCCGGGCCGGCCCGGGGGTCCCCCCAGCTCCCGGGATCCCCCATCCCGCAGGTGGAGGAGCTGGAGGAGCAGCTGCGGATGCGGCCGGAGCCGGAGGAGCTGGATCGGGCCCGGGAAGCTCTGGCTGAGGCAGAGCGGGAGAAGCTGGAGCTGAGGAAGAGGCTGGAGGAGGCCGAGGGGCGGCTGGGGGGGCTGGAGGAGGAAGGTGGGTGCTCTGCCCCGCGCGGAGGGAGGACGGAGGTGCCCGCGGCCGGGTGGGCTCGGGCTCCGAGGGTCACCGGCCCCAATCCCACCCCATTCCAGTGGGATCCCTGCGGGAGAAGCTGGCCCGGGACCCTCCGTCGCAGAGCCGGACCCCCGAGCCCCCGCCGCCCCCGCCGCTGCCGCCGCCGGGCCCCGCTGTCCCCGTGGAGTAGGTGACATCGCCGGGCACCTCCGGACACCTCCCGGGCACCGCCCCAGCAACCCCGGGGGCTGCCGGCGTGGGGCTGCCACAGGGAACACCGCGGGATGGGGGAAAACCTGGGCCCACCCGCCCCTCGTCTGTCCCCGAGCCGTGTCCGGCTGTCCCCGATCTGTGTCCGAGCCGTGTCCGGCTGTCCCTGGGCTGTCCCCGGGCTGTCCCCGGGCTGTCCCCGAGCCGTGCCATGCTGTCCCCGATCTGTGTCCCGCTGTGTCCAGGCTGTCCCCGAGCCGTGCCGGGTTGTCCCCGAGCTGTCCCCGAGCCATGCCGGGCTGTCCCCGGACTGTCCCTCAGCTGTCCCCGAGCCGTGTCGGGCTGTCCCCGATCTGTGTCCCGCTGTGTCTGGGCTGTCCCAGAGTCGTGCCCGGTTGTCCCCGAGCTGTCCCCTGAGCCGTGTCCGGCTGTCCCTGAGCTGTCCCCGGGCTGTCCCTGAGCCGTGCCGGGCTGTCCCCGATCTGTCCCCGAGCCATGACACGCTGTCCCCGAGCTGTGTCCCGCTGTGTCCCTGGGCTGTCCCCGAGCCGTGTCCGGGCATCGTCCCCGGCGGGAGGTGTGGGATGGGGGGGTCAGTCCCCAGCAGGGTTTCGGTGGCTGGGGGTGTCTGGCCGTGCTGGGGGTGCGGCCGCCCCTCTCTGGGGGGGCAGTGGGCAGGGTGGGCTGACGGGTTTGGGGTGAGGGGGCAGCTCTCACCCTCCTCTCCCTTGCAGCCCCCTCGCCGCCATCAGGCAGAGGAAGGGGGTGGCAAAGCGGCAACACGGTAAGTGCCGGGGGGGGCTCCCGGTGCCGGGGGGGCCCCACAGCGCCACGGGGATGGGGGACCCCCGGGCAAAGGGAGGACGGGGTGGGAGAGGCCGATTTGGGGTTCGGGGCGCCCTGCAGACCCCGCCCCCCAAAGGAGGGTGCTCAGCACCCCTGTCCCGCCCGGCACAGGGGGGAGATGGCCCTGGCAGGGTGGGACCACGCTGGGCCACGGCCAAGGGAGGGACCCCGGGCATGGGGGGCTGCGGGGGGGGGGGATGTCATGAGCTTGGGGGGACTCAGCGTGGTGGTACCTGTGCAGGTAACCCGGAAGCCCGGGATGTCCCAGCCCAGGATGTCCGAGCTCGGGCCGTGCAGGAGATGATGGAGAGGATCAGGAGCGGGGTGGTCCTGCGGCCAGCCAAGGACAGGGCACACCTGGGCCAGGTAGGCAGGGATGGGCCCCAACAATGTCCCTGGGCGCTCCTGGGACCGGGGCGGGCTTGGGAAGCACCGGCAGCCCCAGGGAGGAGCAGGAGCAGCAGGATGAGCCCCCCCATCCCCGTCCCTCCCCTCCCAGGACCCGGTGGCCGGGAAGCGGAGGAGCGCGGTGCTGGAGCTGCAGGGAATCCTGGTGAGCGGCCCCGTCCCACGGGGGGACACCTCTCCCACCGCCCTGGGGGGGTCCCCGTGCCCGGTGTGACCCGTCAGCCCCTCGGCCGTGTCCCAGGGTGCCATGAGGAGGCCGGGCCGGAGATGCAGCGGGCGCCGGGGCAGCGCCAAGGGCCGGGACCGGCAGCTGGAATCCATCCTGCAGCGGCGGCGCCGGGCCGTGGATGCGTCCGTGGGCACCTCCACGGGCACATCCACGGGCATTTCCACGGGCACCTCCAAGGACACCTCCACGGGCAGCCGCAGCCCCCCCGCACAGGAGCAGGCCGGGGCTGTGAGCGGCCCAGAGCCCGGTACGGAGCAGGGTGGGATGCAGGGCTGGGGCCGGGTGACCCTCCTGTGGAGCGGGAACGTCCCCGGGGAGCGGTGCAGAGGTGACACCCAGCCCTGTCCCCTCTCTGTCCCCTCTCTGTCACCGCTCCCGGGCTCCCCCACCCCTCTCACCCCTCTCTCCCTCCGTCTCTCCCCAGGGAACACGGACACGGCCCCGGCCGGGTGCCCCCCCGGAGGGCAGGGACGGGGACAGGGTCCCGTTCAGGCCCCGGGTGGGTGGTGGCCTCCCCAGGACGCGTCCCCCGAGCCGCCGGGCCGGGGACAGCGGGAGCCCCGGGCAGGAGCAGGAGCAGGAGCAGGAGCAGCTTCCCACGGCGCTGCCAAAGCCTCCCCAGCCCCTCCCACCCTCCTTCTCCAGCGGTTCCTACCCTCCCGGGCTTCAATGAGAGAGAGGTGGCCCCGTGTCCCCGCGTGTGGCGTTGTCACTGTGTGCTGGCCCAGGGGGTGGCAGCGGGACGGGGCTGGGAATGGGACTGGGAATGTGCCTGGGAATGTGCCTGGGAATGGGCTGGGAATGGGCTGAGAATGGGCTGGGAATGGGCTGGGAATGGGCTGGGAAGGGGGTTGGGAATGGGGGTGGGAATGGGGCTGGGAATGGGCTGGAAAGGGGGCTGGAAATGGGACTGGGAATGGGCCCGGGAATGGGCCCGGGAATGGGGCTGGGAATGGGGGCGGGAATGGGGCTGGGAATGGGCTGGGAATGGGGGTGGGAATGGGGCTGGGAATGGGGGCGGGAATGGGGGCGGGAATGGGGCTGGGAATGGGCCGGGAATGGGGCTGAAGCTGCTGCCAACGGGCCCTGGAAAGAGGCCTGGTGGGACCAGAGCAGGACACGGGATGGGAAGGGATGATGCTCTTCAGCTCACGCTTGGTTTTAAGCCTTGGGGTCCCCCGGGAGATGGGTTTTCATGGAATTCCAGACTGGTTTGTGTTGGGAGGGACCTTAAACCCCACCCAGTCCCACCCCCTGCCATGAGCAGGGACACCTTCCACTAGCCCAGGCTGCTCCAAGGGAGGAATTTCTTCCCCCAATCCCCCCCATCCCTCCCCTCCGGCCGTGGTCCTTCTCTAACACAACACGATACTAAAACCATTTATATTCACTTGGGTGTTGGAGCAGTTGGGGACAGGCAGGACTGTGGCTGCTCCCAGCATCCCCAAGGAGGGGACAGATCCCTTCCCATGGATCCACGGTCCCCCCATTCCCTGGGAACAGCCAGGACTCGTGGCTGTCACAACACTCCAGCACTTGGCTTTTTCCATCCCTTTTTTTCCTGCTCCTTCAGTCGAACTGAAATATTTAAGGTGTGGAGCAACTTCCCCTAATTCCACAGCTCCTCCTCCTCCCTCTGGACTGTCCAGACACCCGAGGGCTGCCCTGTGGGAAGCAGGCATGGAGAGGCCTCATCCCTGGAGCTGGGAAAGGCGGCAGAGCCCCAGGAGCAGCTGGGAGCGCTCGGGGGGTCGGGGCTGGAGTGACCCCTCTCCTGCTTCCTGAGTGCCTCCAAATCCAGCTTTTTGGGCCATTCCCAGCCCCAGCTGCTCTCACCTCTCCCCCCCTCCCTGGCTCAGCACCAGGGAAATGTCAGGGCCCAGGCAGGGAGACTCCCCCCCGTGCTGCCCTTTCCCTGTGCCCGCTCCGTATCGAGTGAGCTCCTCTCCCCTCATTACCCCCTCCAAACATCCATGAAAATCAATGATCCCGCGGGATGGGAGAGCCAGGAGCAGGCAGAGACGCCTCGGAGAGCAGCTGTCTGGGTATTAATCCATGACTCTTAAGTGGAATCATGGAATGTGGGTGGGAAGGGGCCTTAAAGTTCACCCGGTTCCACCCCCTGGGACACCTTCCCCTATCCCAGGTTACTCCAAGCTCCATCCAACCCGGCCTTGGACACTTCCAGGGATGGAGCACCACTGCCAGGGGTGGGGCATAATCACAATAACAATCAAACCCTTCATCCAAGTGGTAACTCCCACCTTGTTTGAAGCTGGAGCACCTCCCAACCCCTTTGTGGCTGGACCCTGGATCCTTCCTACCTTGTCCTGGTGAATAACCGGAGATTTTCCATCTTATCCCCCCAAATTTCCCATGTTCCCTGCGTGTCAGGGGGATGTTTTGGCCCAAGTTGGGCTCCTGAGGGTGTGTTTCCCCCCAAAGCTCCCTGCTCAGGGCAGGGGATGGATCCCAGCCTGGTCCTCGCTTCCCTGTGGCCTTTCCTTCTCCTTTCCCTCGTTAAACATTGATGGGGTTACACAACTTCCCTGAAATCTGGTTCAGCTCGAGGAAAGGAGTGTCCTCAACGTGATCCAGGCAGGAAAAATGGACTTGGCAGCTGGAAAAACACAAGTAACCAACCCTGGCTCCTGGCTGAGTGGTCGGGAAAATGGGGATTAAGAGGGATCAGGAGGGACACGAAGGCTCCTGATCCTCCTCATTTCCATCCTGGTCCATCCCTCCCCTGTGCTCCTGTCACGGCTCTCCAGGAGTTTTCCATCCCTCCTGCATCAGGTTCAGAGGGAGAAAACCACACCCTGTGAACCTTGGAGCAAAATTCCAGCCCCTGGGCTGGACAGCAGCTTTTCCAACGTATTATTTCCTAAAATCTCCAAAATTAATCGTTATGCACAGAGAGAGATTCCTCCCGTGGCACCAACTCCATCCCTGGAAGTGTCCAAGGCCAGGCTGGACAGGGCTTGGAGCAACCTGGGCTATGGAAGGTGTCCCTGGGTGGGATTTAAGGTCCCTTCCCCCCCCCAAACCATTCCAGGATTCCATGAATGCTCAGGAGCTGCCACATCCAGCCTCTCCAACAGGGCAAACTTCTCCCACGAGCCATTTTCCTCAGAAACTCCTCCCAAAGCTTTCCTGCCCCGTGCCCCTGCACTGGTGGATCCAGGGAATTCCTGTGTCCTGGCACAGGCTGAAGGTGGCCAAAAACACGGGAAAAAGGGGATTTTTATGGTTACAAGGAACAAGAACAAAGGGTTCACCTCCTCCTCAGTATGAATCCTTCCCTTTGGGAAAGGAGGGAGGCCTGGAGAGCTCAGAGCTCTGGGAATGCCCAGCAGAGGCCCAGGAGAAGCTGAGGAGATTCCCATGGAGCGGAGACTCACTTTCCATGAACAGTTCCCCAGCAGCTGGAGCATCCTGGACAGTCCTGGCCAAACCAGAGAGAGAAACGGGAATTTCCAACACTAAAACCAAACCAAACCAGCAGCTGGGTCCTTCCAGGGGGGGCAGGGACAGGTCCCTTCCCCGGGAACATCAGAATCCTCCGGATTTATTCCAATTCCTCCTTTTTCTT